CCAAGCGCGCCCCCCAAGACGGCCCACGAGGCGCTCAAGATCGCCCAAGAGGGCCCCAAGACGGCCCCAAGAAGGGCTCAAGAGGGGGAACACGAACCGACAATTCGAGCCTTCCGCCCCAAGAGGCCTCCAGGAGGCCCCAAGAGGCCCCCAACAGAGCCCAAGAGGCCCCCCAGAGGCCCCCTAGGTGCCCCACGAGGCCCCAGAGGCCCCAAAGAGGCCGCAACAGAGGCCCCAAGAGCACCCCAAACGGCCTCCAAAACATACCGGTGCATAGCAAAGGACCGCCTAGCCTATCGTCGCATCGCAGCGTTGCATGACATGGCATGGCACGGCACAGCACGACATAGCTAACCGTGTCAATGCATATCACAGTATGGTTCAGCATACCATCGTATTGCATTCCATAGCAGTGTTTAGCTGAGCCTCACACTGCAAGTCACGACGTAACATTGCCCAGCATGGCATGGCACCTCATGACGCACCGTGGCGTACTATGGCAGTCCAATGCGCATACATTACGAGAACAGCACCGTACTGCTCTGCGCAAGAGTAAACCGTGACCAACCGCCCAGAGCTGCCTATGTCCACCTTCGCCGTCGGCTCGAAAGGTGGCCGCTACGGACCTTCCCAGGCCGTCGCGTGGAGCGAGCGCTGATAACTTTTCGAGTTCTGGGGCGGAGCGCGGCGCCCCGAGTCCAAGCCGCCTATTTGTGCACCCTGTGCGACGGGTGGTGCACGCGGCGTCGGTTTCAGAGTCGCGGTCCCTGCTCATTTGCCTGTGGCGTCGGCGACGACAGCCTAGCACATTTTGCACGCTGCCCGACAATTCGAAGGCTGACTGCATCCCAATTCGGTGGGCCAACTCCGGCTCCGGAGTGGGCCCTGGATTACTTCTTCTGCATGCCTCCGAGCAGCGGCTCGCAAGCGATGGGAGGAGATGCCCTCCTCCTGCAGCGCGCTCTCTCTCTCTACGCCCTCTTCAGGCTCCATAACGGCATCCGGCATCATCAGTTTTCCCCCTCCGAGTTCTCGGGGGCGTACAATAGGTTTCTCCGCGAAGGGGCGAGGTAGCCTATTGCCTTTTCTCGGAGCTAGGCTTGCAGGTGGGTGCGAGTTCTAGCTCATGCGATCGGCTGCGGAGCGCAGCATCCTTTTATACTTGCTTTCAACTTCGATCGTGCCGCGCTGTTCTGGCACTGGCTCGCTGGCGGCTGCCGCCTTGCGACTTCCACACTGGACGTGTGGGCACTCGTTCTGTCCGTTTGTCCTCCTCTCTTTCTTGTCGTCGTTCCCCCCTCTTCCCCCTCCCGCATTTCCTCCAGAATGACGTTGTGCGCTTTGGAATTTTATACGTGGCCGTTCGGGCCGCTGGGGATGTCCGCACAACGCCCTCGCCCCCTCGTCTCCTCCTCGTCCTCGCTCTCCCCGCTTCTCTGCCCCCCCTGCCGGCGGGAAAATAGCCACATTTTGTTGCGCGTGCGTTCTCCTAAGCAGCGGCGGCCGCTTGCTTGCTGTGTTGGCTCCGTTTGTGCCAGTGGCTTCTTTTCACCCAGGAGGAAAGGGCGAGGACGGTCCTGCGGCAGGACAGCCTGCCGACTCCCCAGTCTCTATCCAATAGTCGGCGTCGGTCCGTGGGTTCATCGTTGCCGAAAAAACACACACACCCGTTGTTGCTCTTACTGTCGTCCTGTTTATTTTAGCCTAGCAGTTCATAACATGGCATAGCATTGCATTGCATTGAATAGCACGGTATGCCGTGTCTGTGCATACCGTGTAACGCGGTAGCATCGTTCTTCATAGGAAACATCGCATGATATGGCTCAGCGTATCATCCAACATATTACCATAGCATTTCACAGCACAGCATGGCATGGCATGCAATGCGCACTGTACGGTATATCATGTTATTGCATTGCATACTGCATAGTGGCATTGCGCTTTATAGCGTAGCATGGCATATCATGGCGTTCCATAGCATAGTGCAACATGGCGCTGTAGCGCTGCATTTTTCCTGGCCCATAGCTTGGCGACAGATCACCGGTCGACCGGTCGATGAGAGCGGAGGAGGAGGAATAAGGAAGGGGCAGAAGGAAACATATGATGTTGACCTGCATTTGCATCTAAGGGGTAAATCGACCAGCAGGTCCCAGGCCACGCCAGTGGGGATAGGGATCGGTTAAACGATGCCCAGTTTGCCTCCTCCTGCTGCTCCTCGAGCCGACGGTCGGGGAGCGCGTTGTCGGCGCGCGCCCCGCGGGCTCGGAGGAGCAATGCTTTGTGGTGCAGAGTGCCGCGAGTGTCGATCCTAGCCGCAGGGGAGAATATGGCGTTTTTTCTGCATATTTGCACGTGCGGGTTCCTTGACACGAGTTTCATTGATTGCCCCAAGTTCTCCGCAGCCACGCTCATAGCATAGTGCAACATGGCGCTGTAGCGCTGCATTTTTCCTGGCCCATAGCTTGGCGACAGATCACCGGTCGACCGGTCGATGAGAGCGGAGGAGGAGGAATAAGGAAGGGGCAGAAGGAAACATATGATGTTGACCTGCATTTGCATCTAAGGGGTAAATCGGCCAGCAGGGCCCAGGCCACGCCAGTGGGGATAGGGATCGGTTAAACGATGCCCAGTTTGCCTCCTCCTGCTGCTCCTCGAGCCGACGGTCGGGGAGCGCGTTGTCGGCGCGCGCCCCGCGGGCTCGGAGGAGCAATGCTTTGTGGTGCAGAGTGCCGCGAGGGTCGCTCCTAGCCGCAGGGGAAAAATAAGTGCTCCGCAGCCACGCTCATAGCATAATGCACAATGGCGCTGTAGCGCTGTATTCTTCCTGGCCCATAGCTTGGCGACAGATCGCCGGTCGACCAGTTAAGCGCGCGCGAAGAGCATGCGTGGTTCTAGGGTCCCGGGGCCCCCAAAGTGCACTGATGTGTTTTCCGGCCGTTTCGGGCCCAGCGAAGGGCGCCCACATCAAAGGGGGCCGAGAGACGTTCAAGAGGGCGCCAAGATGGCCCAAGAGCGCTCCAAGAGAGCCCAAGACTGCACGAGAGCGTTTGAACATGTGTCCAAGAGGCCTCCAAGAGGGCCCAAGAGAGCTCCGAGAGACGTCCCGAGAGAGCCCGAAGAGGCCCAAATCATTGATGTGCATTGGTTTGTTCGATGATTTTCGCTTTCTCGCGTCCTCGAGCTTCCAATGTTCGAAGAAGGTCGAAGACGCCCTCAAGACCGCCTCAAGACCGCCGAAGACGCCCCAAAAGAGCGCCAAGACGGCTCCAGAGAACCTGCAAATTGCACACGAGGAGCCCCAGACGGCCCAAGAGGCCCCAGGATAGGCCCAAAATGGACCACAGAGCGGGAGCGGGAGGCCCCAGGGCGCTCGAAGACGGCCCAGATGGCCCGGGCCTCCCCTTTCTGTCCCTCCTTCCCTCCCACCCCCTCCTCCATTACCTCCTCTCGCCTCTTCTTCCCCTCACCCCTCAGTTTTCGTGCTTCTCCCTCCTCTCCTGGGACGGCCCCGCCAGAGCGCCAGACAGGCCCCGCCTGAGCGAGCGGGGCATCGCTATACCCTATCATTTCACAAGTTGCTTTGCCCGTCACACCCCTCAAGGGCGGCCCCGGCAGAGCGAGAGGGGTGTTGCTATAGCATATACAGTCCCTGTTACGTTTTGCTCTTCCCACCGCACCCGAAGTAGTTCCGTTAGAGCGCACGGGATGTGGTTATACCATAGTTTTCCTCAGGTTTCGTGCTCTTCCCTCCCCTCCTGGGCAAGCCCCGCCAGAGCGCCAGGGAAACCCCCGTTAGAGAGAGCAGGACATCCTTACACCACACTCTTTCACGCGGCTTTTGCTCCTCCCACCCTTGCAAGGCGGACCCGCCCGAGCGAGCGGGGTGTGGCTATACCATACAATAGTTTAGGTTTCGTGCCCCTCCCCCACCTCCTGAAAGGCCTCGCTAGAGCGCGAAGAAGGTACCGCCAGAGGCCCCGTCAGAGCTCCACGCAACCCCATACATGGGACTTGCCAGGCAAATCATTGAGCATCCCCCGTGACCCCGAGCCTTCTGTTCCCACGGGTGCGATTATCGCCGGCATGAGGTTTGGCGTCCAGTACAAAGAAGTTTCCCCACTCCCGTGGACGGACTCGACAGCAACTGATTGCAGAGAAGGGCACAGATGACGAGGGCATCTGCGCGCGCCCTCTGCAAATATCCGACAGCTGAACGACCGCTGTGAACGAGAAGCTTGGAGCACAAGGAAGAGGAAAATAACAAAGCGCTCCCACGCGCGCGCAACGAGGCCCCGAGCCAACCCCAACATCAGGAACCTTCAGATGTCTGCGTGATCGGGCATGGGGAGATTGAGCAGATGTGCGAAATCATTGAATGCTGCGACGGGGCAGAGCGGAAATGAAAGTGGAGAAACAAACGCAGTTCGATAAACCAAACGAAGGCGGCAGCGAGATTGTGAGGTGCGCGGGAACGTGGCGCCCCGCGTTCAGACTACGCGTTTTTTGCGTCTATGACATGGACCCGAGAACGCTGGAACTCGTCGTTGTGGCCACAGCGGGGTTTACAACGGCACCCGTGGCTCATCTGCGACTAGAACCTAAGCGCGCGCGTAGCGCGCGCGTGGTTCTAGTACCATATGTGTGCGTCGCCCCCCAAGGGTTAAGTCGGGCCTGTCCCCCTGCAGGGGGATTTTTTTCGACGAAAATGAAAAAATATTCCGAAAATGATTTAAAATCGTTAAAAGAATACTCAGAAAATAGTCCCCAGACTATTGTTTGACTATTTTTGAGTATTCCCCCTGTAGAGGGACAGGCCCGATTTGACCCAAGGGGCGACGCGCGCACCGAGAAGTCTTACAGTACATGCGTCGTGGCGGGCACTCTCTGGCCACACCGCTCGGGAAACGGTGCACCACAGCATGGGTGTGCGGGATGCCCGGGCCGGACGCGCGCCTCCGAGGAGGACAGATCGTATCCGCATGTCCCTGCGCGCCCCGCAGGAAGGCCCACAGCGGCACCAGCCTGAACGAGGCCCTCGGCTCGCAGACAGCCAGGCTGCAGGAGGCGCCCTCGGGCCGCCCCGCGACGACGCCCTCGGCCCTGGGCACGGCCTCCCCTCGGCGCCTCTGCGGCGGGGCGCAGGGCCCGCCGGCCTTCCGAGGGCCCTGGCGGCCCTCCACGGTCGGGTTGGTTGCTGACCCCTTTCTTTTCTCCTCCTCCGCCTCCTCCCCCTCCTCCTCCTCCTCCGCCTCCTCCTCCTCCTCCTCCTCCTCCTCCTCCTCCTCCTCCTCCTCCTCCTCCTCCCCCTCCTCCTCCTGCTCCTCCTCCTCCCCCTCGCCCCCGTCGGTGGAGGGAGGAGGAGGGCTGGGGAGGATGAGGAGAAGGAGGAGGAAGTGGGAATGGAGGAGGTGGGCGGAGGAGGTGGAGGAGGACCTCCTGCTCCTCCTCCTCCTCCTCCTCCTCCTCCTCCTCCTCCTCCTCCTTCTCCGCTTCCTCCTGCATTTTTCTCCCTGTCGCACACCGAGGCAAGTTTTTAGAGCGGGCTAGGCGTTTCGCCTGAGACTTCCTCACCGCTTATGGTTCTGAAGTTAAACAATTGGCAACAGCTTCAAAGATGGAGGGTGGGTCGTGTTCAAAATGTGGTTCTCGCCTTAGCGCGGCGCACACTTGTCAACAAAACATGGCAACCGTTTCACAGATGGAAGGCGTGTCGTTTTCAAAATGTGGTTCTCGCCGTAGCGTGGCGCACATTCGTTTCACACATTTGCAAGAGTTTCACGGATTGAGGGCGGGTCGTTTTCAAAATGTGGTTCTCGCCTCAGCGCGGCGCACAGTCGTTTTAAACATTTGCAAGAGCTTCACGGATTCCTATCATCAATGTGCCAGAAATCGTGTTTTCTAAGGATTCAGGATTATGCTGGTACAACAGTTATGTTGATTCGCTGTGTTAGAGTTCCAGGAATGGTGTTCTGGCACGAGTCAGGATTGTCAAGACGCAGCAGTCAATTGATCCGTGGCGTTGGACTCCCGAGAACAATGTTTTGGCATGCTTCAGGATTTTCAAACGGTTGTCTTCCAAAAAGAGGCAGGTCCTTCAATGGAAACGAGCCGTTGTAGAGGCCTGTGAAGAGGGAGCTTGGAGGGAGGGTTTGTTCCAACACCGTTGATGATTCCTTCTCCTCCTCCTCCTTATCCTCATCCTCATCCTCCTCCTCCTCCTTCTCCTCCTCCTCCTTCTCTCCTCCTCCTCCTCCTTCTCCTCCTTCTCCTCCTCCTCCTTCTCCTCCTCCTTATCCTCATCCTCATCCTCATCCTCGTCCTCCTCCACCCTTCTCCTCCTCCTCGCCCTCCTCGTCGTCCTCCTCCTCCTCCTCCTCCTCCTGCTGGCCTGATAGCTGCGTCGTCGAGAGCTCCGCGCCACGGGCTGGCGCCAGCTCGCCTCGAGAGAGAGAGAGAGGGAGAGCTCGGCGGGGGGCGGCAACGGCCCGGGCCTCGATGGACCAGGAGGCGTGGGGAGCGCCGGCCGTGTCGGCCGCCAGCCGCTCTGCGGGAGGCGGCGCTGTGGTGCTGGTCGTTTTCCTCCTCTTCCCCCTCCCTTTTCTCATCCTCCTCATCATCACCATCGTCGTCATCACCATCATCATCATCACCATCACCATCACCATCATCATCATCATCATCATCATCATCATCATCATCATCATCATCGTCATCATCATCATCGTCATCATCATCATCATCATCATCATCATCATCATCATCATCATCATCATTATCATCAGCATTATCATCATCATCACCATCCTCCTGCTCATCATCATCATCATCATCATCATCATCATCATCATCATCATCATCATCATCATCATCATCATCATCATCATCATCATCATCATCATCATCATCATCATCATAGCCAGATGTTTGTATCGTCCTGGTCTGATGATGATCCGTCCCATGGCCGTTCTTGCTCCGCAACCATTCAAGCGCAAACAGATACAGCGGCCGCTTCATGCCTCTGTCCTCCGTGGCTGGCGGCCTCGCCCGTGTCGGCGCCTGGATCGTGTCCGACAAGGCCTGGGGCCTCGTGGAGAGCACCCTCGGCAACGCGACCGAGTGCGCGGTCGCGTACGGGCTGGTCGGCTCGCTGAAGTGGGGAGCGGCTCTGCTCTCCCTCGCATCCTTCCTCGTCGGCGTCTTCATCGGACGCTATGCCGTTCCAAGTTCGAGCAGGGCAGCGGTTCGATATCCAGTGGCGCGGCGGCGAGAGCATGCAAGCTCGCGTCGCAATCGCGCCGTGCACGCCGACCGACTATCAGGAAGTGACGAGTCTAGCTCCGAGCGAGAAGGCCGAGGAGGACGGGAGGTTGTGGTATATGGCGACGCCCGACGGAGACGTCTACCCGCACGAGCTGACGGCCCAGGCGTTGCGTATCATCGTGCCGTACGATATGAGGGATCGGAGGCAGCTGGTCAACAGAGAGGGGGCCAACCCGGTGGGCGTCGGCACGTACGGCAGGGACTGGGTGATGAGCCCCGCGGCCTTCGCGCTGCAGTTGCGCTTCGTCTTGGGGCAATCGCTCGACGAGGTGCTGGAGACGGCGGCGGCGGCGGCTGGAGCCCCCGAGGAGCCCGAGGCGGAGGCGAGGCCAGCGGCGGCGAGACCGCCTTCAGGATCGGCCTTGGCCTCGGCGGAGATTCCGACTGAGTGGGGCACTGGCCGCGGGCGCCTCCCTGACCCCTCGCCGTCGCGTTGGCGATGCATCGCCTCGAGCGACGGCGGGGGGAGGGGCCTGCTGCCCGACGAGGACCTGGACGCCTTCGTGATCGCGTCGGGGTTCGGCATGGCGATGAAGGGGGGCCGCGCGATGCTGGTGCGGGCTCTTCCTCCTGACGGCGGCGACGAGCTCGACGCGCGCGTCCTCGCGCTGCGGGCCAACGCCACGGAGCGTTTCCTTGGGATGCGTGAGGCCGTGGCGGAGCTCACCGAGACGCACTGGGACTTCTTCCCGATCAGCGGGCCCCGCACCGTGAAGTGGGTGTGCGAGTTCGTGCGCGAGAATGACGTGACGTTCAGATCTGGGCACGCCAAGTTCAAGGCCGAGACGGGGCTGTCGTCGTCGGACCAGGACGTCTCCGTCCACGAGCTCTGCTGCCGCATCATGCACCTGCTGCTGACTTACGACCAGCTCAATGGCAGCGAGTTGTCGTGTGCGGAGCTGGTGTGCCGCCGACTCCAGATGGCCGAGTACCGCCATCGCGAGAGGATTCTCACGACCTCCCGAGGTGACGAGCTGCTCGAGGACTCGCACCTGTACCTCGGGACGGGCGAGACCCGCGGGCTGGTCTGCATCTCGCCGAAGCTGCTCACGTTCGTGACGGATGAGCTCCACAAGGAGAGCCTCGTTCTCAAGGAGCGGCGGAAGCTGAAGGAGGAGCGGATGGCCTCGCGGGGGGATGACGGACACAGCGGCGGCGGCGGCGGTGACGGCAGGGCGCGCCTCTCAGGGATGCAGAGCACCGTGGATCGGCAGAAGTCGGAGATCGAGAAGCTGAAGAAGCAGCTGGCGGGTGGACCCAAGGCGGACCCTAAGGGAAAGGGCCGTGGAGGTGCCGCCGCTGGCGGAGAGGGGGGCTGACGCCCCCTTCCACTTCACGATCATGGTGGTCCAGCGGGACATCCTCCCGATCCCGCTGGACCTCGCGACTGCGCACTTCGAGCGGCGCAACCACAATGCATGTTTTTCAAATTCCCGAGGTCGGCGGAGTCGGGGCCGCCAGCAGCTGGCCGTCGAGCTGTGGACCTGTGAGGTCGTCGCGGCGCTCAACTTCCTCAACGGGCGCCTGGGCGGCGACGGGTTCGACAAGTTATCGGCGGCGCAGCTCACTGGCATCGAGTCGCTCTACGACCACCTGCTGGAGTTCGGGCCTCCTGATGTCAGTCCCACGGCGGCCTACACTGAGCTGCGTGGTTGTTCCCCTGGGTACGACATGTCCCCAGCGAAAGCGGTTCTGTTCACCGAAGGGAGCGTGGCGGTGCCTTCGGACTCCAGGAAGTGCGAGCCCGCCTACCTGTTGTCGGAGTCCGTGCGCGACTTGTGGCAGGACTGGGAGAAGCATCTCTTGCGCCCTCGTAAGGAGTGGCTTGCTAATGTACCACCTCACTTCGACGCCAGGTTGAAGAGCTCGTCGAAGCTCTACGCCAGCTTTTTGCACGATTTGTTCAATGCGGGCATGATCGAATTCACCAGCGAGCGCAAGCACACGCTCGCGCCGTTCTTCGTCGCCAAGCGGGACGGGAGCGGCCAGCAGCGGATGGTTCTGGACACCCGGCGTGTCAATCGTATGTTTTATGACCCCGACGTCGCCGAGCTGCCGACAGCAGGCAGCTGGCAGAGCCTGCGGCTCGGGGCCGACAGCAGCCTCTTCCTCGGTCAGTGCGACATCGAGGCAGCCTTCTATCGCTTCCTTGCGCCGCCTGGTCTGAGCGAGCTGATGATTCTTCCGAGTATCGATCGCGGTGCTCTTGCCAACGTGCTGCCGAGTGGCACTCTCGACGGCATCGTCGGCCGCAGGTGTTCACCTTGTCTGAAGGTGCTGCCCATGGGCTGGAACTGGAGCTTGTTCTTCTGCCAGCACGCCGTTGAAGGTATGCTGAGGACCGTCGGCATCGGTGACCACAGGCTCGTTCACGAGAGGAAGGTGATTCCCGACCTCGAGGGCGAGACCGTCGCTGCCGCCTACGTCGACGGTGTCGCCGTGATCGGCTCCAAGTACGACGAGGTCGTCTCGCAGCTGGAGACGGTGCACGGCGCGTTCAACACGGCGGGCCTCAAGTGCAAGGAGATGGAGCTGCCGAGCGAGCACCAGAAGTTCACAGGTCTGATCTTCGACAGAGAGTCTGGGAGGATATCGCTGGGGCGGTCGCGGATGTGGAAGATCCGCCAGGCGCTGCTGTGCCAGGCGTCCCAGCGTTACGCCACGGGAAAGGAGCTGGCCAGCCTGGTCGGACACTTCAACTGGGCGGCCCTTCTTCGCCGACCACTCCTGTGCATCTTCCAGTC